CCGCACCGACACTATAACATTTACAAACATCCATGTCTTACCCATTATTCGAATCTCGAAAACTTTTGCAGGGTATGTACACAAATTATAAAAAATCGCCTTAATCCAATTAATTTGAACATTATATTTCTAGATATATTTTTATTTCCTTGTACGAAATAAAGAAGTATTATAATCGCGAAAAATGTTATATCTTCTTTCAACGGATATATCCGTTCTGACCGTTATCGACTCCATTTTGATTGTTTTTTCACGTGACGTCTGCATGTTCTGACAAAATAAACTGTTTTTATTGTTTTTTCACGTGACGTCTGTATGTTCTGACAAAATAAACTTTTTTTTTTTTTTTTTTTTTTTTCAAAACGGATTATAAAATGAATTGAAAATTATTTTTTTTTTTAGTGACGTCTCTGCGTATGTACGTATGCATCTCTCGTAACTCAAAAACGATTAGCCGCACCCCCCTAAAAAAAGATTTGTATAGGGTACTGCTATAACATCTTGTTGTGCACTTCCCTTTTTTTATTGCAATTCGCAGTACCAAAAGAAGAAATTTATTATTTTTGCATAATTTGAATGTATTCTAAAGTGTTTTGATTCATAATTATGTAAATGTATGGAACCGATGCTAATTATTGTGGATTCAGAATGACGATTAGCTGAGCTGTTTATGTTTTTTAATGTTATGTAATATTGAGTTCAAAATTGGCTAGCAAATTATTAAAACTTCATTCTTTGAGATGTGTAGAACATTTCTGAATAATTTAAGGTAGATAGCTGATGAAACTCTTTATTATGCAGGTGAAAAGAAATATTACGTAGTCCTGGGAAAAAAAAAAAAAAAAAAAAAAAAAAAAAAATCTTTAGCTGATGAAATAAATACATTTATCTGCACATTATGCGGGCAGCGAACGGCTTTCTGTTTAACTAATATTTCAGAGCTTCTCCATTACGTTGCGCAACGTTGTATTTCACAACATCGGTCACGTAGGTAGTCTTCAAATGACTCCGAGGACTTTTCGAAGTTCACCCGTATTATTGTTATTATTATTATTATTAAAAGGGTACGTCCCTGAAAATTGTTGCCATCTCCTGCGAAATATTTCGTCACTACGAGTTCGTTGCATCTTCAGATAGGCGAGTCCAAATGTGCTTTTTCATTGGTCGAAAGAGTCGCGCCTTCTAGTACGCGATTGGCTGCGCGTGACGTCATGCTTTGTCTTTCGCGGAAGCGTTTACTACTGGCCCACGTTTTCTTGCCATGTGAAAAGATCGCTCAAACATTTATTTTATTATTATATTATTTTTTTTTTCTTTATTAGACGACTGGTTTTTGTTTCTGGGAAACTGCGTCGCGTTTTCTTGTCACGGTTTTTCAACGTTTACCTGCCGATGCTTTCTGCATATCAATGTCGTTGAAAGTCTGTTCTAAATTAAAAAAATTTAGTCGTCAAACACCGGAACTGATATTCGATACGTCGATTTATAAAATCGGGCAATACGTATATGGCTTTATTTGTTTATTAAAAAATATTTTTTTATAAAGATTCCACTGTCTGCGCTTTATTTGGGTGAAAATAACGCAGTTTAATTTAATTTTTAAATAATGTAAATTTTATTTTTGCCTCTTAAACTTTAAAAATTAAAGTGAATTCAGAATTAAAATTTTTAGCGTACTCTCAGTATTTTTTTGTACAGATTTTATCTTACAAAAGCGGACTGAGAAAAACTATGCGAATAATACAATTTCTGAAAGATACGATTAAAATAATAGGTAAACTGTTAAGCAAGTAAAACTGAAAGGTAATCGTGGATAAACTACAGGTAAATATCACAGTATTATTTGCTAACAAGAAACTGACATTCCAACAAAATTATGTAGTAGTATTGCTATTCCTAATATCTAACAAGGTATATCATTTTCCCACTCGTTATATTGAATCGAACCGCTCTTATTGTTGTCCACTATCACTCCTTTAGCCTCAAATCATTTCATGCTGCTGGAATATGTCTGTGTCGTCTCATACAGCTCGCAAATCGTCACATTTTAGTCTTATCAGTCATGCCTACATCCCATATAACTTATGGTTATAACTCATGGACGCCTAGAACCCTAAAAAATATCAGGATGTCAAATGTTTGCTTTTAGGACGATAGTATGTATCTCTTATAATGTTTGTAAAGCATCTAACGCTTGTAATACTTATAAATCTTTCGGTGTATCCCTTTTCAACCAATGCATGGACGCTTATAATTCTAAAAAATTTGTTGTCAAATGTTTGCTTTTTTTCTGTTATAACGTTTGTAACACACATAACCCTTATAACTTATCCTTGATTTTGCGATATATCACTTTTTAGACGACGCATGAATACTTATATCCCGAAAAAATGTGTTGTCGAATGTTTGGATGAAAGCGTATAATACGAATAGAGAATATTTGTTAAATTCGCTTATATGTAACATATATAATTTGACTCTGCGAAATGTGATAACCTTTGCCATGGCTATTTTGATAATATTAACCGTATGATGAAATTAAACGATAGAAAAATATCCTTTAGAGCGCCTTAAGGTATTTCTCCCACTTTCCTATCGTGCCTTCATGGTGTAGTGGCCGGTATTCCAGAGGTCCGTGGTTCGATTCCCAGCGAAGGCGGTTGCTAATTTTTCATCTCTCCGGCTTTTCCAATTACCTAATGTCTCTACAGCGCAAAGGAATTTTACTAATTTAAATATAAAAATATCAAGAAACATATAAATAAGCACTTTGACAGCATTTTAAGCAGAAAAATGCAAAATTCTGTGAGCTGTTCTTAACATTTCTGAAAACATCTTTTGACCGATATTATTCCCTTAATATTAATATTCCGAAGGCGCCCTTCATTGGAAGAGAACAAACAATCAAATGCAAAATTTTAAATTAAGCAAAAGTGCAACCTTAATTTGTCCTTAGATGCTTCCAGGGAATTTTTTCCTTCCAAGGAAAAAAAAAAAATATTCTGCCTTTTTTTTTTTTTTTTTTTTTTTTTTTTTTTTTTTTTTTTTTTTTTTTGAGGGGGGGGGTATGCCTGAAGAAGAAAAGGCTTTTCAAAACCTAAAGCTTTATTCAAAATTACGTGTGCTTTTATGCCTAATTTTAAATGGCTGACTGAAACTGAAACCATATTTGGCGACTTCACATCCCATTTGGGGACATTTATCAGTCGTTTCAGAATTTTTGTAATCAATTTTGACGTTATTTGGTGAATTTATCTTTTATTTGGCAACTTTATTCTAGTTATAAAATTTATTCTGTAATAATTTCATCGTATTAATCGAATTATTTGATACCAACCGACGACGTATTATACAAATTTTGGATTTGAGTTATTGTGGGGTATTAAAAACCTGTTTTATTTATAACACTCAGTGTATAAATATAATTAAAGTAGTTGCAAAATATTGTGTAGAAGTGCAAATAAAATGACTTTTGAAATAATAAACTGTCCCCAGAAAAAATGATTTAACAATGATTATCTCATGCATATGCAATTGTTGCATATTGGGTTTTAAAGTCGTTAATTCTCAAAAGTGCAATCTTGAGAGGAAAATAATGAGTAAAAATTGAAAAATGATTCAGTTTTTGTGGTTTGTTTAGTTCCAATTCAACAATTATAGCAATAAAAATCGTCCATCGTCTGCAGTGGTTTCATCATCAGCTGATCGTTGAACTTGAAAACCGCAACCTCATTTCATTTATTTTATTTCTTTAGAATAAAAGTCTTTCTTTAATTTTGTGGCATGGAAACTAAAATTTACGTCTTAGCATAAATTAAGTCACATGTATCTTGTCTTCGGAATTTCTGTGTAACGTTTCTCATTTGCACACCACTGCCTGTAATCAGGGCCGTTCTTAGCGGGGGTGCAGCGCGTAAAAGTACGCGGGGGCGGCCGGACTCTCGCGATACTACTCCTAAATATTTTAAATTCATTGCAAGTACTTGTCATATGCAAGTAGTTTTTATACAATTTGTCATATGTAAGTAATTAGTGAGTATAAAATAAAAACTTTATATATATATATATATTTGGGAGCGGTAATTTTAGAAAAGTACACGGGCTGCCAATGGCCTAGAAACGGCTCTTCCTGTAATATAATTATATAAATGTAATATACTTGCATAAATACCCACAACCCCCAAAAAGTTCTGAAAGGATTCACATTTTAACGGTTATCAATACAGATGGTTCAGGTGGAAGAGCGAAACATTTTGTAGGTGAGTACCTCATTTTCTCGCGCGTTTTGCCCCTAATGTTTTAGTGGCTGGATTCTGAAAATGTTACAAATATTCACATCATTTCCCGTCTTATGTTGTATGTAGTTTTTCCCTCTGAGGGCTAGCGTACTGGCAAATAGTATGCGTTAATTATTTTTTATTCATTTTGCATTTGCGTTTTTAGTATTTCATCAAATATTTTTCCACTTGCATTTATTATTCGAAAGGCATTTTATGCAGATTTTTCGTTCAGCTAACCGAACATGGCAGGTGTTCTAACACTTCAGAAACTTTCCAAACATGTGATTTTACCTTACTTCTGTTATTTATATTCCGACTCATTGTAGTCTTATCTACTGCTGATGTATTCCATCTTTCGAAATCCAAGTCTTGTAGCCCCCCTCTTCTCTGTCTCTCCTCCGATATCCGTCTTGGGAAGTTCGATCAACACTTATGCATGTGAAGTGTTTCGGGGTTTTAGAGAAATAATATTGTAACGTATATACGTAATTTATTCCGTGACTACTTTTTATTTTTTATATTCTTACTGTACCATATATATATATATATATATATATTATATACACACCGATCTTACCTGTCTTAAAATCTCTTACCCTTTATTTTTGCAGTCGTTGGTCATAGTTATATACTTTCATTTACACAAGTGTTTTAAATGATGCAAATATTCATGTTTTGGCAATATCAAATTTAATAAAAAAATTTTTTTTTTTTTGGCAGGAATTCCGAGAAGCGGAAAGAGAAGTCACGTGATGCTGCCCGTTGCCGCCGCAGCAAAGAATCTGAAATTTTCTCTGACCTGTCTGGGCAGCTGCCCCTCGCCCCTGGGGTCGCTTCGGCACTGGACAAGGCCTCCATAATGAGACTGACCGTTGGGTACTTGAAAGTCCGAGAGATGATGAAAATTCTTATTCGTAAGTGTCACAATTCACTATCCTACCATTAAAGTATATATGTATGTTCATATTTCCTTTCTGTAATTTTTTCTATTTTTTTAAACGACTTCCACAATGTTGAGCACAGATATGAAACTTATTTTTTACCATCACCAATCGATGCTATGGGAACAAAAATATTATAGAATGCTACTTTAAAATAGGCACTTCAAGCATACAACTCCCCTCCTTAGTTTACGATTGCAAGATGTGGCATCATCAGTATACAGCACTTATTCCCACACCTAATTTGAGAATGTAGTTCAAGTTACCCTTTAATTGTTTTATGCATATTTTGTTTCACTTCCCCTCTCGAAAGAAACATTTACAGTATTTTGATATTTTTCGGTTTTATGGCATTTGGCTGCTTAAATCTGAAAGAATTCTGATTTCAATGCCACACTATAGGGATGTTGTTATTATTTAAGGAAACAAATGCAAAACTCCTTGTGGCCTGCAAAGATGTCAGGAGACTTACAAAAGTAAGTAAATAACCTAGTAAGGTAAAGACATAATGCAACAATAATACATAATGTCTAACTGTCGAGAGACTAAGGGATATATGTATAATAATACAAATACTACTATAATAAGAATACTAAAATATATTACAAATAATGAAACTATAACAATTGTTAAAAAGAAAATAGATCATGTAATAATAATACAAAGGAGGTATGATTTAACAATAATAAAATACATTAATACATAGCATAATCATACATAGATACAATAAGAATACAGTGACACATAAAAAAATAATAAAGCAATAATACATAAAAATAATAAAAGTGCATTTTGCACAACAAATAAAGTTGTGAAAAACGGCAAAAGCTTCAGAACTCTCGACAAGATAAGAGAAAACAAGAGGCACCAAATAGAGACATTCCTTAAACTCGACTTAAATATCATTCTGGCACTGGCATTGGCATGTGACATACACTGCAATAAGATATGCTGTGTATCTTCTACGGCATCGCCACAACTATGAAGTTCTCGAATCACAATATTAGAATGAAGTAAGTAATTTCTAAAATTTCCATCACCAGTTAAATCTGAGTTAATTTGTAATCTGGTTGAATGTACTTATACTTGAAATGTTGAAAAACTATTGGGATTAACCTCTTTGTCCACTGGGCCTTCAAAAAAACAGAGATCTTGAACGTAAGTAAAATTAATGTCTGCAATTTATTCAGATGCATGTAACATGGAGTGAATCTCCACTGCCAGTTTTTCTGTTGATAGTATCATATAAAAAAAATTTTTGATGTGTACACCATATGACTTCCTTTCACGGAATACAGTCAAAAGTCGTTAATCCGGACTCGTCGGGACTTCAGCGATTCCGGTTTATCGATTTTTCCGGATTATAGATCATCAGTTTAAATCTCGTAAGATGGCATGCAGAAATTATAAAAATTAAAAAATATGAAAACCGTAATTTTATGAAATAAAGAAACAGTTATGATCTAAAGGGTATCAAAATTTATAAAAAAAAAAAAAAAAAGCTTAATATTTATTTGTTTACTTTATTAAACATTTCTTTCTTGTAAGTAAGTTTGTAAAGTAAGTTTTAAGTTGCTTCATTTTATTGTGATAAACTACTTCTCTTTAATTCTATATAAAACAGACATAATTTCTTGTTCAGTTACTAAGTTCCGCTGTTCAAGTCCCGTTAATTGCTTGCTGTGCCGAGAATACCGACTAACTTTCAATCAAATTTTTTTCGTTTTCACTAACCTCTCTGTCACATTCTTCATGTCTTTATCCATTTTTTTGCAGCAATTCCACTTTTTGTTTGTTGGACATCGAAAATACTTTCGTTTTGTAGATCCTTTGGAAGTTCCAGCATCGGAAATTCTATTTGACATAATCGAAAGTTCAAGTTTACTTTTATAAAATTGCTCTTACAGTTTGCAAAAAATAATAAGCGGGATCCAATTCGAAGATTAAGAAACAACGCAATCATTAACATTAAGTGAAATAGATAATTAGATAATTTTAGCTTACACCGTCCGTTATACATTAAACGCGCAGGCGAAAACGTATTCTGCACTTGCGCACACGCATATGCGCAGTAGTCAAGGTCTTACGCGCACGTGTAAAACGCCTGTGCGCATGTGCCAACGCGGCGCATGCGCAGAAAGTTTTTAGCTTTGAGGTCCGGATTATGGGTGTCCGAATTAACGACTTTTGACTGTACTAAATTATACTCATTTTTTCTTGCATTTCTTTTAAACTTATTGGTTAACTCAGAATGCAAATAAATTTATATCATTTGAAGAATTATCTAATCATTGCCACATGTCCTATTCAAATACTATAATAAATCTAAAATGAATAAAAGAAATTAAGCAAACAAAACAAAAAAGAAACAGTTTTTCACAGACAATTCAGTATTTCTCATTCAATTAATTCAGTTTTCACTTCCCGACAAGGCAAAAATACATAAAAACTCAAGATATCTATATTAAAAATTACGAAGTAAATCTGAAACACTTATTTCCTCGAATAAATTTCAGAATGAATGGAGCATGATTTAATTCACAATATTAAAAGAAGGCGTTATCTTTGTTTTTCGAAGCTTAGTTTCTCTAGATTGGCAACAAATCCGCTATTTTGCCAAGTTTGAAATGTAAGCAATTATGTCCGCAAAATTCATTAGGTTTAGCTGCACTTAAACAACTTTTAAATTGTTGATAACTCCACAAATATTGCATGCAGATTTAGTAAAGGCATAAAAGGCTTAACCGGAAGATAAGAACAACATAATCCAATCAATTAAAGTCGCAATAACAACCTTGTATTTAGCGTACATATGTTAAAACAATCGATTTCGAGAGCAGCTAAAAGGTTCTTCCTCATCAGGAGAACGGAATTACTAGAAAGGGGAAAAAGAAGAAAAAGCATTGGCAAAGAAGTCTCAGAAACACGTGGTCGTTATCAGCACACACGTGGTCGTAACCAGATTTTGAGTCAGATTACACTTAGGAATTTTTGTAGGGCTTTTATAAAAACTTTTCATAAGCTTCTATAAAAACTTTTCATAAGGTTGGGATTTTAAAGAATTTAGCGTAACTGTGTAAGACAACGTGGAATTATATGTAATATTTTTATAACAGATAGTTGTTGTTTGTGTAAACTTTTAATGGTGCTTTAATTACTTGATCACTTTTAGCTCTAATTAGTTTACTTTCATTTTTTTCAGCATGTGGTCGAACTGTGACGGGATCCTCGAATGATTCCATTTATGCAGCTGTCTTGAATGGATTTTTACTTGTCCTTTCTGAGGAAGGGGACATAATATACCTCTCTGAAAATGTAGAGGAATTTATTGGCATATCACAGGTATGGCATTATTTAAATTTTTTTCCAACTGAAAAACTTTTTTTGCATAAAGGATATTATGTATTTGATACTTATCTTAATTTGGCTTCCTGAATCTACTATTGAGAATACAAACATTTTGCACTTAATTTGATGAAGTGAGTGCAGTTAGCAATACTCTCAACTAGCGATTCAGCTCTGATTGCCACTATTCTTCATAAGGTATTAAAAATAGTACATCTTTAAAGTTCACTATGGAGCCAGCTGAATCTATATTTGAGACAAGCATTTTATAATTAATTTTATGAATCTTCAGGTAAAAGTATAATTATGGAATGTGTTCAACTCTGATTTGTTATTTTTTTTTCATAAGATGTAACGAGTTCTACAAATGTAATATGTATCATGACTCAGTTGGGTGATATGCAGTTAAAAAAACAGGCATTTTGCTCTACGTTTGATGGATCTTCAATTGAAATTACAATAGCAGCACCACTTTCAACCAGTGTTCAACAAGATTCTGTTCCAATTAACAGTTTTCTTCATGAGACGTAAATAATACTCTACTTTTGATACTCACCATAGTTCATTGAAAATACATATAGTTTGCTCTTAATCAAATGAATGATCAGTTGCTGTTAACTCAATCAATAATTCAACACTGGTTGACAGTTTTTCTCATGATATGCAAAGTATGTTACATCTTTGACACTCACCATAATTTTGTTGACTGAATCCATTGTTGAAATATATATTTTGCACTTAATTTTTGAATTTAGTTTGGTTGAATCTTCAGTTGCATGCTTAATCAGCAACATTTTCATTCAATGATTAAACTCCCAATCAACAATTTTCTTCTTAATAATTCAAAGAATATTCAGTCTTTCACACTGACCATAGTTCAGTAAATCGAATATCTAAATGAGAACATTTTGCATTTAATTTAATGAATCTTCAGCTGAAAGTGCTATTAGTAGTACTATCAAGCTATAATTCAACTCTGATTGATGATTTTCTTTTCAGATTAAAAAGAATGAATTAAATTTTCATTTTTCAATACAATTTTCTAACCTTATTAAAATTTTGGAATGATCTGTGATATGGGAGAACGGAAATGAAAACATTTTTAATAAAAATTTCACTTTTGTTTTGATTAGAACAGTTATATAAGTAAAAATAAATGCATTTTAAATTTAATTAAAATTAAAAACCATTTTATTGGGAGTATGTATATAATTATTAAAAGCATTCAATTAAGGAAATAAGTTTTTTAATTAATAGCATTTTTATGTGGGATACAGCAGAGCAAAAAATAAACAAAAAATGCTTATTTTTGCTCTGCTGTACCCCACATAGAAATTAGAAATTTTATTTAATTAAAGTGTGGACATTTTACATTTTGTACAGATTACCATTTTTCTGATTGATTTTGGAAATCAACATTTTTATAGAACTTATGTGGAATTACGTGGTGATGATTGCTTATAATTTTTCAGTCTTTCTGAGACTTTATACAATTTTTTGTAAGGTAAATTTTGAAAATGTATAAATTGGATTATTTATTTCATATATTGTATTCAAATTGTATGTCTTTAACCAGTTTATAATTATTTTCTGTAAATTAATGCATTTTATTTTCTTAAATTAAGTCTTCAGATTCTTTTAAATACCTTCTTTACTGAAGCATGTAATGTTTCTTCATTCTCCTATGTTCTGTTTTAATTCTATTTTATTTTGTTTCTTATTCTTTTCTACTCTACATTCTATTTTGTTGTGCTTTGTTTCATATTTTTCTACATTCTCATCTCTTCTGTTCTAGTTTGCTCTACATTCTATTCTGTTGTGTTCTCTCTTCTGTTTCATTACATTTTGTTCCACTTTCTTATCTACATGTTTTCTTTGTTCCCTGTTTTAATAATATCTTCAATTTTTATTTTAGATAGAGTAAAAAGTAATATTTTTTAATTTTACAGGTTGATATGATGGGCCACAGTGTGTATGACTTCTCCCACCCTTGCGATCATGAAGATATAAAACAAGTTCTTGCCCCAAAGATCTCAGAGAAAATTCAAATTAAAACAGATAACTTTGGGAGGGAAACAATTTCGTTTTTTGTCCGAATGAAGTCCACAGTGAAGTCGAAAGGAAGGACAATGAATCTCAAATCTGCAGCATATCAAGTAAGTACAGAATGTTTAAACCTTGATCATGCATATCTGTGCAAATGACATTTGAAACATTTTGTCTTTGTTTAGAAATACATGAAGCATTATGTATTTCAGCTATATACTGTACCCACAAAAGTCTTTACGTAGCCTTTTTCTTTTTAAATTGATTGAGGAAGAGATATAAGCCTTAAAATAAGCCTAATATGCCTTTAATAAGCCTAAAAGGGTGAACTTTTGAACGAGAAGATACAAATAAAAATAAAAAATCATAAACATGAAAAACAAGCCTGAAATTAAAACTAATCAATAAATTCATCAATAAAAACAAATGAAGCAAAATTCATAAAGAAAAATAAAAAAGTTCTTAACTCTTCGGTGAATGTCAATCTGCATCTGAAAAAAATATCAATAAAGCCATATTTCTGAATGATATCCAGATAATTTGTAAAATATAGCAAAGTATTGTTTAAATTGAAATACAAAATGGAAAGACTAATACAAAGTTTAAAGTATTTAAAAATTTAATATGAAAAATGGTGTTAATTGCCTAAATATGATCTGCTGTGACATGACTGAAATTAGTTAATGTACATAATAGACCAGAAGTGAAAATTTTTTAAATAAGAGGAAAATGTAGAATTAAAAAAAAAAAGAAAATTAGTAACTTAGAAAACTGAAACGGTATGTTCCACAAGCCATTAAAAAAGTACAAATGTGGAATCCATAAACCACAGAAAAGGCAAAATTGTCTAAACTTTTCCAACGGAGAATTTGTGTAATATAAAATTTCCAAAACAATAATAATAATAAAAAGAAATTAGATTGAGTGGCTTATAAGCAAAATCGGAACAGGAAAACAAAACTTAGTGCAAGCAATAGAAAAATGTAGCATCCTTAAAAACCGATGTAAATGGCTATAAATCTGATGCCTTTAAGGAGAGTGTTGTAATTTTAAAAATGGGATATAAAAGTACTTTTTCTGAAAACAAATAAGAATAAACAGTATGCAAAACTTAATATTAAATATAAATATAATATCTTGAAGTTGAATAATAAAAAAATACAGTAAGTCTTTAGTCCAGACTTGTCGGGACTTCGGCGATTCCGGATTAGGGGTTTTTCCGGATTATAGATCATTAATGTAAATCTGGTAAGGTGTCATGCAGAAATTATAAAATTAAAAATATGAAACCATAATTTATGAAATAAAGAGCAATTATGGTCTAAAGGGTATCAAAATTTACGCACACACACACACACACACACACAAAGCTTAATATTTATTTGTTTACGTTATTAAACATTTCTTTCAATGTAAGTTGTTTAAGTTGCTTCGTTTTATGTGCTAATACTTTCTCTTTAATTCTATAAACAGACATAATTTGTTGTTCAGTTACAAAGTTCCGCTGTTCAAGTATTGTAATTGCTGTGCCGAGAATACCGACTAACTTGTCAATCCAAATTTTTTCATTTTCACTAACATCTCTGTCATTTTCTTCATGCCTTTAAAAAATCATTATGCCAAAGGGGCATTTTTGTAATGTTTTGCGTGCTACCTTTATTTATTAAATGTCATGTTCTTCCCACTTAAATTTAAAAAAAATTCAATTTAACAGCAATATCGCAAAATAATTTTTAAATGAGCATAGCTTTAGAATTTCTGATACACAGTCTTGTGCACTGGAGATAAAAATGGTTTCCCCCCCTTTTCGTACAGTGTGGCCATTCCTCGCTTTGAAATCGTTCAGTTTCTTAATAAAAAATTCTTTAATGTTTGACAAAATAGGAAATAGATAATAAAACAAATTCCAAATTAGGCTTCTAAGTACCCATATTTCGGTGGAGGATTACGTTATTAAAAATTTGATGGCTCTAGGTTCCATTGTTTTATCACAATGCATGAAACGTACATACATTTATGCAGATTCTTCATTATTTAATTTCTTTAAATATTATACAGGGCTGTAATATTTGGTGGGAACAGTTTGAAAAGTGAATCAGCGCAGAAAGTAAATCAATGCAAAATGCCAAAACGAAATTAATAGCCCTTTTGGGCTAACACTCTTTGGGCTAATAAAAGTTATTAAAATTCCCGTAATATTTATAAATAAATACCACATATGCCATATAGCCCCTCCCAAATAATAACATTCAGTAATAAATACCACATATTCCTTTAAAGAGCCATCGGAAAGCCCTTAAGTCAAGAACATACCCTCCCCGTTACGTTTATACAATCAAAATCCAAGTGAATGTAAGTTACCTTTGTCTCATTTCATGTAGAAGATAAAATCCTGTGGATATATACTGACATCTTATGCTGAAAATATTAGTTTCTAAAACTCTGATACGAATGTGTGATTGGCGGGGTTGAACGAGAAAATTCTTTGTCATGTGAGAAGTGAGTGTGCTTAATGCTGTCACACATGCGTCACATTCAGTATTGAAAGGTTAAGCTTCTGCATTGAATATAAGGTGAACATTATTAAAACAAATGCAAAATAAAAAAGGAAGATCATTGGTTCGTCAGTCCTCCTGGAATCAAGATGCTTTGATAACCTGCACAGTGCAGATCGCTAAAAATTTCTTGACGCTGGTCGTGAAGTTATGTCTCTTGTACTGTCAACTGGAACAAATTATTGCATCTATGATGTCAGACCATGTCATCAAACACATCGTAAAAGCTTGAAAACAGTGTCTTGCGGGGATATTTTCTCATCTCTCACACTATTCCCCACTACAGTCAAAAGTCGTTAATTCGGACACCCATAATCCGGAATGATCTATAATCTGGACCTCAAAGCTACAAACTTTCTGCACATGCGTCGCGTTGACGCATGTGCGTAAGACCTTTACGGCTGCGAATATGCATGTGAGCGTTTAATGTATAAAAACTGTATTAGCTAAGCTAAAATTATCTAATTCAGTTAATGTTGCAGATTGCGTTGTTTCTTAATCTTCGAATTGGATCCGGCTTATTATTTTTTGCAGACTGTTAGAGCAATTTTATAAAAGTAAGCTTGAACTTTCGATGATGTCAAATAGAATTTCCGATATATATTTACTAATATGTAAAGGATCTACAAAGCATGTTTCAAAGTCCAGTAAACAAAAAGTGGAATTGCTGCAAAAAATGGATAAAGGCATATTCTGTGTTTCTCTAACCATTCCGAAATCTGTTTATGAATTTCACGCTGCTCTGCGGGGCGGGGACGTTTCGGCGTGCAATGAACTGGAAGTTGATCTGTCAGCACTATCCTTATCCTCAGGGCAGATGTTTTTATTTTATTTGGCTTATAATTCCTTACTAAATGTAGTATTTCATCTCAATGTACTTCGTCTTTGATATGATTTAAATCAAATTCCTCGTCATTATAATTCGCTTCCGATAGTGAAGAAAGTGACACAGATAGTTATTGAAAACGAAAAAATTTCGCTTGACAAATTAGTCGGTATTTTCGACACAGTTATAGGACTTGAACAGCGGAACTTTGTAACTGAAGAAGAAATTATGTCTGTTTATAGTATTAAAGAGAGAGTATTATCACATAAAACGAAGCAACTTAAACAACTTACATTGAAAGAAATGTTTAATAAAGTAAACAAATAAATATTAAGTTTTTTTTTTTGTGAATTTTGATACCCTTTAGATCATAATTGTTCTTTATTTCATAAATTATGGTTTCATATTTTTAATTTTATAATTTCTGCATGCCATCTTACCAGATTTAAACTGATAATCTATAATTCGGAAAAATCGATAATCTGGAATCGCTGAAGTCCCGACGAGTCCGGATTAACGACTTTAGACTGTACAAATGTATTGTACAGTGCATTCACGCAATAGTATGCACATTAGTTATTAATTTTATTTTTACCACACCTGAAAGTGCTTATAAAACCAAAGCTTTCATTCTTTACTCATAAGTTTCTTAGTATAAATGTGTCAGAAAGTTGCAAAACAAAATTAACCAAAGTGATGAAATTTAGAATATGCAGTTAAATATTTACATATTTTACATCAGAATCATTCTGAATTTTTGAGTAAGCTGAATCATTTTATAAAATGAATTTAAATCAATTTGAAAATGGTGTTGCCGCTCCACACGAAAACAACCCCAAAACTTCAAGATTTTGGTGCATGAAACCTCCATGTTTTTCATATTTTAAGATTGGTGGCTATGCCAAAATATGAATTATAGAAAATACTTGTACTTTTATGTCTTATGAAACTTTTTTTCACATCTACACAAGATATTATTTTTATTCTTCTTTATTTAGGTTATTCATTACATAGGACACAGGTTCGATAAGCCCAGAGGAGTGGAGGATGATGACAAGTGCCCCACGTTTTATCTAGTTTTTATTGGCAAGACAATACCTCATCCAGCTCAGATTGATGTGCCTTTGGATAAAGACATTTTTGTCAGTAGACATAGTCCTGATATGAAATTTACGCACATAGATGAAAGGTAAAAAGGATTTCTGTAGTATTTGCCAGGTGCTCTTATACAAATGCATTTTAGAAGTCTGTCCAATAATAAATGTCTTTAGAATTCTTTGGAGTTATGACCTAATTTTCTATAAACTCGTTTAGAGTTCTACTATAGAATTCTATAAAATTTTAGATATATTTTCTGTAGAGCATAGAGACTCGATAGATATGTGTAGATATTTTATAGGGATTTTTGCACAAATTTTATAAAAATGTGGTCATGATGTGCCCACATCAGATGTTTTTATTCTGTGTCCCATATAGTGCATCAGAAACTGAAAATTTGCTTTGATTACAGTTTGAAAACTTTGCAGATTTCTCTGCAATGCTATCCTATAGAGGCTTTATAAAATTTCGATTTGACTTTTTTCTATTTTTAAAATTTCTATTTGATTTCTATAAATTTCAATAGGAATTTCTGTAGAGCTCTATTACTCTCTGTAAAACTTTTTGTTAGCAGGGGCAGATGGGGAAATTTAACTGGCAGTGCCAGTTTGCACAAAAGTGCCTGCACCTTTTTCTGCAACTTGGCTGTTGTTCTATAAGGTACAAGAGTGCCCCAACATTAAGACAAAAAAATCTAAGCTAGTAGGTATCAACTTTAAAAAGATTACCAGCACCCAAAGGAATTTCAGTATACACTCTGCAGCCTTCATCAAGATTCCAGGATGTTTTTTTAAAGATCTAAGTGAACAGTCACCAAACTGAATAAAGGGGCATCAGCACCTGTTTGAAGTTAGCCATGGTTCACCGAGGCACTAAGGGTGTCCAGCATCTGTAGGATGCTATCCGAGGATATCCTGCCATTAAGTTGCTGGTACTGTTATTCAATTCAATTTGTGGCTTGAAGATACAGTCAAAAGTCGTTAATTCGGACACCCATAATACAGAATAATCTATAATCCGGACCTCAAAGCTAATCCGGAAGTTAAAAACTTTCTGCGCATGCGCCGCGTTGATGCATGCTCATAGGCGTCTTACGTGTGCGCGCAAGTCATTTACGACTGCGCATATGCGTCTGCGCAATCACAGAATACGTTTTCGTGTGCGCGTTTAATGTATAACAGATGGTATAAGCTAAAATTATCTGATTATCTATTTCAGTTAATGTTGATGATTGCGTTGTTCCTTAATCTTCGAATTGGATCCGGCTTATTATTTTTTGCAGACTGTAAGAGCAATTTTATAAAAGTAAGCTTGAACTTTCGATTATGTCAAATAGAATTTCCGATGCTGGAGCTCCCAAAGGATCTAGAAAACGAAAGTATGATTCGATGTCCATCAAACAAAAAATGAATTGCTACAAAAAATGGATAAAGGTATATCCTTTGTTTATCTAACCGTTCCGAAATCTGTTTATCAATTTCACGCTGCTCTGCGCGGGGGGGGGGGGACATCCCGGCGCGCAATGAACTGGAAGTTGATCTGTCACCACTATCGTTATCTTCAGGGCAGATGTTTTTATTTTATTCGGCTTATAATTCTTTACTAAATGTAGTATTTAATCTTTAATATGATTTAAATAAAATTCCTCGTCATTATAAATATCACGAATACAAATCAAATAGTTTTCTGGTTGCAATTTTCTAATTTCGGCTATGCGTAAGGTACGCATGCGCGCGTTGAAAGAAACGTTTAATAAAATAAACAAATAAATATTAAGCTTCTTTTTTTGTAAATTTTGATACCCTTTAGATCATAATTGCTCATTATTTTATAAATTACGGTTTCATATTTTTAATTTTATAATTTCTGCATGCCATCTTACCAGATTTAAACTGATGATCTATAATCCGGAAAAATCGATAATCCGGAATCGCCGAAGTCCCGACGAGTCCGGATTAAAGACTTTTGACTGTACCAACTTTTGTCGAGGTACTTTTACAGCTGCATCTTTATTAAGAGTCTTGGTGAAATTCCCTGATGAAGGTATTGCCACTATTATGAAATTCAGTCCTGTAGAAAGCATCTTTCATTGAGATGCTGGTGGCTTTATGCCACAGACCCTTTATCGCGGCTTCTGTCTTGGCAAACAGTTTCTGACATGTGTGAAGGAGCCGAAATTTTTACTGATAAAGCAGATCTATAACCTTTAGCGACTTTTATTAGTGTTATTTTTAATTGAAATTTTCCAATATTTCCATCTGCCTTTGTTTGTGAGAATTGTATGATTTTTATAAGTTTGTCAGTTATTCTAATTACTCTGCAGCAATGAACAAACATTAATAAATATAAAAATTTGGTTAGTCACATTGCAGCTGCAGAATAATTGTTGCATGTAAAGTGAGATGGAAAATGTGAAGTAGTATATGAAAAATAAATATTAAAACTAAATTTCTAATACTTGCTTGAATAAAGATTTCTGTTCATATATATTTATTCCTTTGTTTTTTTCTAGGATATCTGAATTTCTGGGTTTTACGAATTCAGAACTTATTGGACAATCTGCATATTCGTTCCATCATCCTTTAGATGCTCAAACAGTGTTCTCAGCTTTCAAAACATGTAAGTTTTTTTCCCCCCTTTCTTTGTATCGATCGATGATTTAATTTTAAAAAAAAGTGTTACTACTTCCATGATTTTGAGAATGCTATGCTTGTTTGTAGTTCAGACTACACTATTTTTATTTCAGTTTAACAATTACTTAATTGATTTATTTGAATAAAATAATAAATTTTAATTTAAGTGCACATGAACATAACTGACATAAAATGATATATTACAAAAGATTCCTTTCAAATATTCATGAGCGAAAAATCACCTGCAGAGTTTTTTTAAATAAGTTATAATGAGTTTTCATCAACATCTGGCAACTCTTTGTTTTTGATTTTCTTTTATTTTTTGCCAGTGAATTCATTTTTGGTGAATAAGGAATTTTTGCCTTTGTAACCTTTTATCTTTTGCAATTAAATTATTTTTTTTTTGATGCAGAAGTTCCCCCCACCCTTTGTTTTGTTACAGTTTAGCTTTTGCAAATAATTTTCATTTTTATGAAGTAGGAATTTTTGATTTTGTTAATTTTCTATCTTTCGCAAATAAATTATTTTTAAATGAAGAAGGGATTTTTGTTTTGATTACTATTAATATTCTACAAATAACTTCATTTTTAATTGAAAAGAGTTTTTTTGAGGGGTTGACATTTATCTTTTGCAAATAACTTTATTTTTGATGAAGATGAAGTTTTTGCTATGTTTATAAATTCATTTTAAATGAAGAAGAAAATATTGCTTTGACTACTTCCCAAAATGATGAACATTAATGGAAAAAATTATTAAATTTTGTTATTGCTATGGAATATCTGTTAAAATGTTGTTGAGTACATTTGAATACAATATTTGTTTTTTAAATGAAAAATATTTTAGTAGTATGAGATATTTAAGGAAAAGCAGAAAATGCTTCAAGAACGAACAGTGATCCACTAAACTATGCACTTGAACTAATGACTAACAATCCTAGCTGCCAACTCTTCCAGTTTTTCATCACATTTCCCGGTCTTCAGGTAGATCAGCAAATCTTCCTTTTTAAAAATTTTTAGCCTTATTAAGGAGAATGTTTCCCAACAAAGAAGGAAATTTATTGAATTAGTAAAACTTAAATTAGGGAAATTCAGTTCTCTTTATTTTAGGGATTTTCAGTAAAGTAGTAATTTTATTTCATTTTAATTGTATTTTTATTGTATGTACATTTTATTGATCTTAAATTTCTTATTAAATTTTATTTGATCTGAGTTGTGTTAATCTACTGTAGACATTAGTAGATTTTTACATGAAGCTTCAAGCAATTTTCTTCTTCAATTGCACTAAAGCTTATCACAGGCCAAGATCATGTTAATAAGCTTCCTCCAATAGATCCGATTAGTCACTACCAGAGCCAGATTTAGACTTGTTGATAAGGCCCTAAGCTATCTGAGATATGAGGTCCCTTATAAGGCTGTTATAATATATTTTAATACAATTTATATTATATTTGATTTAGCTTATACGTAAATCCAGCCCTGGTTGCTATGGACCACCAACGACTGTTTTTTAAAGTCTTGAGATTTGCTTCTGCTCAGTCTATCCATTTTGTGCGAGGTCTTCCTCTTTTCCTGGTGCCCTCTATACTCCCATTCGAAGCATTCCAAGTTACCTGATAACAAGCAATGCTTAATCAGTTATTATTTGTATTTAATTTTGTTTTATTTCAGTATATTGCACATAACTAACTAAATCCACACAAATACTATGTACATTAACTATAAGCTTTTTGTGGTCATATTAAGTTTATACATATTTATCATGCTGGTTGGAATTAATTTTTTTTTGAACAAACAGTAATACTTGTCATGCAAGATTAATACTTGACATGAAGCTTGAAGACATAATATAATATAAGATCAGTGTAGTTCTTTGTTGTGGTGGCTGAGAGCAGACGTACGACTGGAATGGTAAAATATCTTTGGTGGCTGAGAGTAGGCATTCTACTTCAAAGGATTAATTTTACTTATCTCATATTTAAATTACTCTGAATAATAAAAGCTTTTTGTCACAAAGCAGGATTTTCTGAGTATAAAAGTGTAACAAAATTCTAAAATGAAATTAGCTAAAAAAAGTAAAATTTAGAATACCTGATTTAACAATAATTATTTTACAAAAGAATTCTATTACAAATAGTTCAATAACATTGTAACTGAATCATTCATTGTAACTGAATCATTCATTGTAACTGAATTAACCTTTTGAGGTCAGAGATTTAACAGCTGAAAATCCTTAAAAAGATTGGGGCTTTCGTACCTTATGCTTTCCCTCCCTTCTGTCCATTAAGTCCCTTGCGTATTGTGTAAGTATTATTACATGAATTTAGAAGCTAAAAAATGAACTAGAGGAAAAATGGTAAATATTTCCATTGGAAAATTATTCAAAGCTTATGAATAAAAAGTTCTTAATTTTGCTGTTTGATATTTTATATAATATATCAGAAACCAAAAATTCATTTGATTATAGATGGAAAATTCTTCTAGAATTCTCTAGAATCCCATTCTGCAAAGGCTTTACAAAATTTCTGTATGGTTTTGCTAAGCAACATTTCTGTAGAATTTTCTCCTGTTTTGAGTTTTCGTTTTGAAATATAGAATCTTTTTGAAATTTGAAATATAGAATAGTATTTCTGTAGAAGATTACCTACAAAATTCAATAGGAATTTTTGCAGAGCTTTATCAGTCTCTGTAAAACAATATCGAAAGATAATTCTTGAAAAACACATCCTTATGTTTAATTATGCAGTGCAGAAAAAGTGCAATCTATGCACCTGTTATAATGATACAGTTGATGGAAAAAAAGTAAGTGGCAATGTGTTGCCAAGACAGCCAATGAGAGCTAGAATGTGATATGTGTAAAATGAACACCTGATGCAGAATGATTTAATTTCAGTTTAGCTTTATTTTGATTAGTTAATAATGAATTTTGGCTCCCGACTGGAAATTATTATTGGCTGAAGCCTTACTATGTAACTGCCTATACCATTAACATTATGCAAGAATCTTATATGACATGGATTAGTTTTTAATTGGTACAGTTTAGAACAGTTGTTATAAGGAGTTACTATTTTTTGGACGCTAAGGACAAAGAACAAAATTAAAAATGACAGTTAAGAGACTACTGCAAATAAGTTAATACTTTGGTTTACATTGTAAGGTTTCACTTATTTTGCATAACAAATTTATTTTAAGTTTGATACCTTGACTGAACTTTTCAACTTCTCACATTTTCTCACCAGGATGTAAATTTAAAGTTAAGTGAAGTGTGTATTTAAACAGGTGAAAACTCTGAGTTTATTCAGAGCATGCTTTCCATACCCAGTGCATATTTCATTGTTGTTTTGCTGTTACGCTAGTAAGCTTCTTGGCCATTTCAGATTATTGTCATGCCTGTTAGGTTTTTGTGAGTCAACTTGTTAGGTGTAACTTATGTGCCATCCAGAACTACTTATTTTAGATTTTGACTTGAACTCTACATTTTTAGTTTCACTGCAAGTTTGATGGTGCCATTGTAACGCACGAAGATGGTGTCTTTCTGTTAACTATTTTTGAATTTAATAAAGGGTTACTTTCAGCCTTCTTCTGTGCTGATATTTATTCATGCCTGTGCAAGAATTTGCCAGGTTCATTGTAAGATCTAACTTAGTTTATGTGGAAAAACAAAGAACGACCCTACAACATATTTTTTTATTACACATATAATGTGGAAAATTTTATTAGTTCTTCAGGATTTATGCGTAGAGTAAAAATAGTAGAGGCGCTGAAAGGCTATAAAATTTTTTTTTGTGGGAATTGTATTTGAAATATTAAGGAAAACATCTTATTAGTCTTTATCTAACAAGATTTTTCATTAATATTTTAAATGCAGTTCCAACATATTATCTTAAAAGGTTTATTTAATATTCAGTAAATTGTTTTGTGATATTACAATTTTTAACATAATAATGTAATAATTTTTTATGTAATAATAAATGTAATTTGTTTTTGATTTCTCATAGTGATTTTCTGAATAAATTAGAGTCTTGATTCAAACAATTAGCAATTTTGAATTCAGAACTACAGGAAATAAAAAATCCTGCCTATTTTTAAAAAAAATTTAGATTAAAGGGAGTATAAAAAATTATTATATTATGCATTTATTTTAAGACCTATTTAAATTTAAAAAGAAGTAATTGATTTGCTTAAGTTTGTCCAGGAAAAAAATGTTTTTTATTTTAGTTTACAGATAAAAATTATTCTTAAACAGTTGTTATGATCATATTTAATATAAAGTACATTTTAAAATTAAAATCCTGATATACATTTGCTTTATAGAATGAGGAAAATCTAGTTAGCCAAATTTTATAATTTTCTGAATAGGTTGCATATATTTGCATATAGTTGGTTACCAGCTATTTGATGTTCAGTTGTATTTAAATTTCCAGTTCTGAAAAGAATTAAATCAAATTTCAATAATAGATGGCGCTTCATAAATAAATGTTTTTGCCTTTTCTCAAAAGATGGCAGCACTATGTTTGTGTGCATTGGTTATCCTCCCTTTTCCTCCTGTTATCCATCCATTTTCCTGCTTTTTATTTATATCTAGATTCGAATCAGAATCCTGAAAGATAATACTTTTTTCCTTACTTGTCCAGCATTTCGAGAAATGTGTAGTAAAGTTACTATGAAAAAATAATACTTAAGATAATATTAAACTTTTCATTCAATACTCAAGCTATTGTTTATATTACTTAGTTTTAGATCCTGCTAATTTTTCTTTTGACAAGGTTTTCTAAATTGCTTATTTGAAATGCTAAAAAATAAGTGCATAATTATTAATACTTTAACAAATTCTTTTATCACTGAATATTTTTTTTCTTTAATTAATGAAGAGTAATGTTTAAAAAAAGTTTATTACACTATACCTGTATTACTATTTGCATTTAGTGCTTTAAATAATAAATAATATACCAATGAAAACAAGTTTTGTGGAAGAGGCAGCATTCCTTCG